TATAGGTATGATTATTAGTCTAGGTGTAGTTCCTCCCCACATACTGTAGCTCATTCATTCCTGTATCCCTCATATACTCCTTAAAATCTTTTGTTTCCATATCTTGGACCTCTGTACCACATAGTCTATCTTGTGGATGTACAACAGCATTATAGTCTCCCATAGCTAGCCAAGGTCCTTGTTGTATGTTGTGGATTTGCCTCATCTTGTCCCATAGCTTCCTAACAGTATGTAATCCATATATTGCTGAAAAATCAAACATAACAGCTTTTGCAATAACTCTAACTTGACCATGTATCAGTTGCTCCTCTATTTCCACTAGCTCAAAAGTGTATATCCTAGGATCCCACATGAGCCAGATTCTGCTTTTATGGTTTATACTTGAGTTGGAAATCCATTCCCAACCAGGTGCTAGCTTCTTTATCACTGCATTCTCTTTTTGATTTTTACTCTATACTCTACTAATGTTATTATTGCTTTATTATTCCCTTTTATAAATTCTTTTATCTCCTTTTGCTTATAAGTCTTATTCAGTCCCCTCACATTCCAAGTTATCACACTCATACAGGTATAAAGTATGGGTGGTGATACAGCCCCTGCACCTCTGAACTCCTCTCTTGCATTGTACTTGTACCTGACTCATCATATGCTTGATTTATTGCTAGGCTTTGGAATCCATTACTTCCCAATATCTCCTGATCCTCAGCTTGTTTAGCTTTAGCTGCCCTTGCTGCTAATTTTCCTAGGACAGTTATCCACCCCTCTTCCTTTCTCTGAGCATCATTGTTTATTGGATCTGGTTCACTCTGTTGATTAATCACTGCTGCTTCCTGCTGTACTTCAGCCTTCTTCACATTATCATGTTGTCTGTCAGTTCTGAGCCATACTTGCTTATTTTTTATGATCTTCCTCTGCTGCACCACTCTTTGGAGTTGTACTGTTTTAATCTCTGCACAATCATATCCAATTTTCATACATTTTGTGCAGTATTTTGGCTCCCAATCATAGGTGACTTCCTGCTGGATTAACCTCCCCTTATGATCCTGTAGCTTCACATATCTAGGTAGAGGCTTTGTGATGTCCATTTCTATCAGCATACGTGCATAAGAAATCCTAACTGAACCAGTAGTACATTCATCTGCATATATTGGATTTCCCAATGTGCTGCCTATCTTACTTAAAGCTTTCATGCCCCAGCAATTTATGGGTAAGTTTGGAAACCTCACCCATAGGGGAATGGTTTTCAGGACCTCATCATGTACATTAAAATCATCCGACCAAACCTTCATTATCATAGGCTTGTTATTAATCGTATGTGGCCCAGAGTACAACACCTGATCCCTCTCCTCTAAATTAGTGAACCTTATTACAAAATATCCTTCATTATGGTAGAAGATTTGTGGTTTCACCGAAAACTTACCCATGTTGTTATATCTATGTTGCAAGATTTATGAAATAAAATTATGCTTGTTAACTATTATTTGT